AGCAGGCTCCACGCTGTCAGCACAAAGCCCAATGCAGGGCTTGATCTTGTGACCTGAGCTGAAATCAAGAGTCATACACTTAACTGACTGAGTCACCCAGGCACCCCTCTGATTATTTCTAAGTAAAAAATTTTTAGCTTTATAGCAAACAAGTTGTCAAAAAACAAAAAAAAAACATGAATCAGTTCAGAAGTAGGACTGGCATTGGCTGTGTAATCTCTTCAAAGAACTGCCCTACGTATTTGCTGTGTGAAATGGAAGGACCTCACAATAGAATTCCACTGTAACGTGATTACTTCATATCTCAGAGTCATCCTGGAGAGAGCTAGGGATATTTGATTTCATAGTTGTGTTGTCTGTCTTTGTCTTTCTCACCACCCTTTTCCTGTATGATCTGCAGGTAATCCACGACTTCTTATTCTCCTTGAAAGAAAGCCCAGAAAAGTTTCAGATTGAAGCCAACTTTCCCCGGCGGGTGCTGCCCTGCATCCCTTCAGAGGAGTGGCCCAACCCCCCCACGCTGCAGGAGGCCGGACTCAGCCACACAGAGGTTCTCTTTGTTCAGGACCTTACAGATGAATGACATTTTTTTTCCTCTCCCCTCCTACCCTAATCCCTAAAAGAAATGGAAAAACAAAAACAAAAAAACAAGAGAGAGAAATTCATATTATTATTATTATAATACAATATTTTTTTTAAAAGACTGCTGCATCCTAAGGAAGGATCAGAAACCATGCTGCCTAAAAGAGTCACCACCTGTGTGTGCGCGCGAGGTCAGCAATGAATGTTCCCGCCGGCAAGCCCACCCTTCCCTACTGCCTCTGCACCACGCACCTTCCAACGAAAGGAGACTCTTCACCTCCAACCCAGTCATTGTCCCAGCTGGGGAAGGGGACATTCTCACTAGTTCTCATTCATTCTTGCTTTTATGGAAAATAAAAGTGAAAAAACCTTCCCATCAACCAGCTACTGCAGCATCTCTTGAGGACTTGCTTCTCCCACCACCAGAGAAGAGAGGGAAGAGAAGGCACAGAACAGAGATGTTCCTTGAACTTCCCACCATTTATGAATAACTTTTAAATGTTTTCTGTTGCTTTGTAATGACCAAAGGAATGAGGCTGACGTAGGTGTTTGTTGTTTTTTTTTTTTTTTTTTTTTTTTTTTTTTTTTTTTCCTTAACTTTATTTGATAAAGAGCCAATTCTTAAGCCTATGAGTTCATGCCCTGGGCTCCTTAGCCCACAAGAGTATAATAAAGGTACCCTGGGCTGGTTTGTGCTTATTTCTGCCATTGTCCCTCTCACATTCCCAGAGAGGTTGTTCTTTTTGGTCCAACTCTTGCTGTCCTTTCTTGCCACCTGTGCGCCCCACTTGGAGTATTGGGGAGGAAATCTGGATTCATTGCCCTGCAAAGGCTATGTATAGACAGATATACCCATACGTGTGGTGTGAACTCCCGTGTATACTCACCTATACACATGACTGCAGCTTTCCCTTGGAATCTGTACCAGGTGGTTATTATGGGATCTGAACCAAAGGATAGCAGCTCTTCATTCCTCTTCTGACACATGCATGCTCTTCGTGCCCATCCCTGAGCTTTCCTGAATTGCCAAGCTTGGTGCCTTCCCAAAGGACTAGCAGGGCCTATGGTAGAACCAGCAGAACCCCATGAGAGTGCCCTGCCTGTCTCAGTGGGAGTGTGGTGGTGGTGGTGGTGGTGGTGGTGATGATGGTGGTTTAAGGTTAGAACTAGAGACTTTGAGGGGAGCCAAGACCAAACTCCTGAACTTCCAAGTTGTTGGAAGGCACATTTTAGTTTCTAATGTAGCCACTTGCTGGAGGCAGTTTTTAATCCTCTCCCTCTATTGCTCTGTTTAAGTAATAGGGTTTTTTAACCTCTGGATGTCTCTTCTGTGGTTGAGTTTCTAGTAATGGGTACATGGGTTAGGCCATGTATTAATAGATGCCAGCATGAGCTGGCAAATATTCCAAAGTGTTCTACAGCTAGACTGGTGCAGACTTGTAACACAGCAAGCTACCAAAGTAACTGTAGTTCCTAGCATGCTGTGAGGCTGGGGGTTCATATCAAAATAAAGCATAACTTGGTAGATTTGCAGTCTCCAAAGGCTTTCTCTCTTGCTTACCTAAAATCTAAGGGCCACTCTTATAGGTAGCAGTGATGTGGCTTCTATTTTCTGCAACCCTCAGTGGTTGGGATAAACACCATGGGACAGGGTGGGGAGCCTGGGAATTTCCCAGTGGCCTTGGCACAGGTGTCTAGAACACCATCTATAGGAAAACTTAATTCTGCTCCTAGCTGCCTCAGGACCAGATGAGTAGAAGATCACTGTCTGATGGTATAAAATGTATCTGGAGTGAATACCAGGATAAACCATATTCTCCACTTAGCTTTATGTGACGTCTGCTTCCTGCTGACAACCATGCAAAGAGGAATTTTTCCACTTAACTCAGAGCCTCACTCCCTGTCAAATTCATAGCTGTTTCCCTAGCCTTACACAGGAGAGGAGGGTATTATGGGCCTTCTCTAGGTTGGATGTACTGTCTTGCTTATGCTTCCTTGGAAAGTTGTAAATCTTTTTCCTTAATTCAGTCTGCATCTTACTCTACAGTGTGCACTTTATGCCTCTTGCCCTTTCAAAACTTGTTCAGTGAAGGAGGTCAGATGCCAGAATATTAAGAAAAAGTCTATGTCGGTACAGCTCTTGGGATTGCCTACTCATTTACTTTAGGTTTCAAGAAGTTTTATCTGAAGCACATGTTCCTTCCTAGTCCATGTTGAAACAGGCCTGCTTTGCTCAGACCCCATTCCTGTCTCCTTGCTGACCCTAGGGCTGCTGCCTGGTGCCATCTCCCTTCCTCCCCCATGAAGGATGCACATTTTATCACTTCAAGTCAGTACAATCTGTATGTTACTCCCAAGGACCTCGGAGAACTCAATGGGACCTGCAAGGGAGAAAATACTGAGAAGCTGATGATCTGCAAGCAGTTGCTCATTTCCAAATCACCTTTGGTTATTTCAGCTGTTCAAACAGCAAGTCGTCAACCTAACGAAGACGCCTGTTTCAAGTTTTGTTCTGCACGCCCCAAACTGAAGTAGATTCAGCTGAATAACCATGGGAAATCACCAAGCAAAGACCTCCAATTGGAGTCAGTTGAATTTTTGCAGCCTCAGTGGGGCCTCTCTGGTCTTTTCTTCCACTTCTGCAGAATTTCCTGTGGCAAATACTTTGTCCTTGCTTGCTTCCACTATGATGGTTGGATAAAAAATGGCCAGAGGACAATATTTATCTCTTAAAAAAAAAAAAAAAAAGAAGAAGAACCTATAATCTTCAACTGAGCAGTCTTTATGAAAATTGCTAATGGTGCCAAGGCCAAGGAAAAAGTTTCAGAAAATGACTGTGGGAAGGAGTGATAACCCCAGAATGCAAAATCAGGGGAGTATTATCTGGTGCTTGAACAAGGAGCTCCACTTTACAACTGGCTTTTTTAGGACTTGTGAGGAACGCAGCAACAGGAAATCCATCCATAAAGGATGCAGTGCCCCAACTTGTACTGCGCCTGAATAGTTACGTGATAATTTACTGAAGAAATCTAGTGTACTTTAAATTTTTTTCATAAAAGTTTACATTGTATTGTAGGTTAACATTAAATGTTTTATAACAAAATCTCATAATGAGTTGTGGGTCTTTCCGTTTAAGAGAGATGTGGTAGATATTTTCTGTGTTCATGAAGGAAAGTTTGGGAAACCATGGGGGTGGGAACAGGATATTGCATTGCTGAGAGGCAAGGGAGAATCAAAGAGAAGCAAGGAGTTAAAATAAATCAGTAATGCATTCCAGTGAAAAGAGGCAACTTAGTGTGGATAGGTAGGAGGGGCAGATAGATATGGGTTCAAATTTGGCCTTTTGTGGCTTCAAACAAGTTCGTTAGTTTCCCCCAACTGTAAATGAAGTTAACACTGTCTATCTTGGAATGGGTTTGTAGATTAAATCAAATATATATGAAGGGCCCAACACAGGTGTCATTGTTCCCTTTCTCCATGGCAGTGTGTTTTGAAGGAATGTTTTTTTGCAGTTGTAACTGTCAGTTTCATAAGGGATGTCACATCTCCTGCTAGAACAGATCTACGTCCTTGGGAATGAGTCCCTAAAGAAGAGTCACCTTTGATCTGACAAAGTCTGGACTATTATTGGAGCTCCCCTCCTAAGGTATTGTTGCTTGTATTCTCATTTCTTTCTTTCTTTCTTTTTTTTTAATTTTCTTTTTGAGTAAACTTCACACCCAACTTGGGGCTTGAACCTACAACCCCGAGATCGAGAGCTGCACACTCTACCAACTTAGCCAGCCAGACACCCTTGTATTTTAATTTCTGAGAGGAAATTTTAGGTTCAATTATTTGCCTTTTTCTTCCCCACTGTCTGACTTCATGCAAAGAACTTATTCCTGTGAGCTACGAATTCTTGTTACCTTCAGAATCTGCCCTGTTGCTTATCCAAAGATGTGTGGCTTCCATTTTATTTTTAATGTACCTCTGAACTAGAACGTCTTCTGCTCAGTCTAGTAAGTCTGCAAGAAGAGTTTGTTCACCTTAGGTCAATCCACTTTTAAAAATGAACACTTCACGATTGTGAAGCTTATGTATAAAATTTTTGCCATCAATGAACAGAGTAAAGGAAGATTAGAACTTTGATGCCAGATACACCTGGTTCGAAATCCTGGCCGTGGCCATGATTTTGGCCAAGTAACCTCAACTCTCTAGGCTTCAGTTTGATCATCTGTAAAAAGGGGGTAGGTTGTAGCCCTGCAGTCATGATTAAGTGAATTGCTACTGCAGAGTTAACCTGGCATACAATTGGTGTTTGGTAAGTAATAGCTCCTATTACTGTTTTCAAAACAGTCTGTAGCTTGCCCACTGCTAACCATTCACCCTAGATAAAGGGAGGAGAGGTTAAAGCGGAGGGGTTAAGTTGAAGCTTTGCCTATGGTCAGTCAGGTAATGCCTGACACTTTTCCTTGCCATGCTTCTGGTGTTGCAGTTGTAACTCCATGTGCTTTTACCCCCAGTGGAGCCTCCAGCCCTCAAAGTCTTTTCCTCATGACTTCGGGTCCTGCCAACACAGTGCTGAGCCTATCCTCCCTCTCCCAACCCTACTCCTCCCCTCTTCTGTCTGCCCTTCTTGGTAACTCTTGGAATCATGCCCCAAACTCCCGGGTTTCTTTAAGCTGAAACCTGATTTTCCCTTGAAGACACCACTTCAAACAACCCTTAAGCAAATACTGCTTGTTTTCTCTCGAATCTTTGAACCAGGATATGGATCTCTATTTCTCTTCTGCCACTCTGATGCACTGTCTTCCAGGACAATGCTCCCAAAGCATGGGCCACCTGCTTGGGCTACTTTTTCCTGTTCTGGTTGCTACTGGACATTCCCCCAGATGTTGACAACTGATACTTTTCCTCTCCACCAGCAACTTGGGTGACTCTTATATCTACGTATGTGGATTCTCTAAAGTTCTGGTCCTATTGCTCATGATTTGACTTGTGTAGCTGCTGAATGTAGTAGAG